GAAAATATGTATTTAACCCGCTCCAGAGTTACTCCAGAGTCTGAGCGGAAATGATCCTTAACTGTTTAACTGCAGCGAGAGCTGGCAAGTCTCATGGTTCACTTACGCGCAAGTTAACAAATCTAATAAATATGATCCAAACTCTTAGTGTTAGTTCAAACTGACCTGCAAACAAAGAGGGTGAGTGCAGCTGGGAACCTCAGATGTCCGAGCAGCCATTTCCGTCTTATTGTTCGGAAGATCCTACTTTTCAAAGTTTGCTAAATATCCAAAGGATGGTGAGATTTCACGAGAGGAGAGCCCAGTTTTTCAATAAAGCTGAAAGTTTCCGAGCCTGAAAACAGGTGCGTTTGTTTTCAAGTGCGCGCTCAAGTGTCTTTTAAAGGAAGAAGAACAAACTGAGGGCGGGGTCATAAACATGTGCGTAATAACAAAGCGGCAAGTCACTGGATTCAGACCTGATCAACAACAAAATCGATCACTAATCAGTCATCAGTCAGATTAAAACCATTATAGAAGCTGATTAATAGAATAAACAGGATTCATGCTCAGATTTAAGTGGATCTTCTCTGACTGTGACTTTGATGTGAGATGTGTCATCTCTTATCCTCCTGTGCATCTCACTGATACACTGTCTCACATTTAACTGGCTCTAAGCTAAGAAAGTACATTTTTCTGACAACAAAAGTTTTGCCCTGAAACTCAAACATCTGTAAAAGCTGTTTACACCAGCGGTATCAAACATGAGGCTCATGGACCAGAACCAGCCCACCAAATGATCCATTTCAGTCCACTTGAAGTGAGGAAGAGAAAATGAATTATTGTTATCTTTCATTTCTACATATGTAAAATACTCCTGTTTACTCATAGAAATTCTACATGGGAAGGTTGTTGAAAATTGCAACGCAGGCATATTGTTAAAAATTCTCTCAATTTAGCAAAATCAGGCTTCTTCTTTTCTTCCTGAAAAACTAAGAAAAGGGTAGTTTGTTTTTCTACAGGGATTCTTTTAAGGTTTGTTGTTTCAGCATTTTCTTGATCATCAGCTATTATTTCATTGGTCACCTGAAACTTCTTAACAGTCCCATATTTTTATTCTTAGACTATATAGAGCAACATTTGTAGTCCATTACACTCTGGACATATGAACAACATCTTAATCTAAACCTTTAGAGACCAGAGCACCGACACTAACAGTTTAGAGGTTCGGGAATAAATGCTTTCCAGTCACAGTCAGGAGGACTTTGATTATTAATAAAAGTACTGCTGTGGAGGATGGTGTAAAATCTTTTTAATGCTGGATTGCGCTACTGTGGTTATCCTGGATCAGAAGGAGAGGTTGACATCCAGATGTAGAGTTCCAACAGATGCAGTTTATTTTATATTCAGTGTAGTGGTACATGAGGGTTGGGTATTGTGTGGTTTCTGCAAACAGGAGCCAAAAGGAAATTACGAAAAATAAGGAATTTCACAGGCTTCAAACACCCACACTACTGTTCTATTAAGTAGTTACATCACTGCAATTTAGCTGAACATGAATGCAATAAATATATTCTAAACAATTAATAAATGTGCCACAAGAGGGCACTCAGAGCTTAGCTCATATTGGAGCTAAGCAAACTGGTTATGGCTAACCAACCGGATCTAGCAGTGGTGAACAAGCAGAGGAACAGATGTGACTATACTGAGTGACGGCAACATCAGGAACAAGGAACACGAGAACTGGAGAAATATCAAGAGCTGAGAAGATGTGGAGGATAACATCTGTGATGTCTTTATTAAACACTTCACTGCCTTCAGATTCTGACATTTAGATTGAATGAGACAAAGCTTAATTGTGTTTTACAGCCCTGAAAATTTCATGTTTTCATATGTGTTTTACTAATCAAGTTATGAGGGCTAAAAAATGCGTCAGAGATAAGGCGAATAAAAAAGCACCAAGTGTCATGTGTACTCTGAGCTCTGAAACTCTCTGGAACTCCGAAAATAATCACAGTATGATTTTAAAGCTCCCCATTTTCTGTTCAGTCCATTTACCACTGAACAGAAGTTATTATCATCAGAGTTTAAGTTTCGTGTAATTTCAGTGTCACTGAAGCTTCTTTTGTTTGATGGTTGAATATAAAGTGTCTACCCAAGTGCTTGTTCACAGCTTGATTGTTGGAGCTTTTTGCTATTGTAGGGTATTAACCTGACAGCATAAAGCACCTTGAAGTCAAACCTACTGTGAAATGTGACT